TTCTGCAACTTTGACCTTAAATATTTTAACTTGTGTTATAAAATATTTTATGAAACTTATAACAATGAAAAGACATTTAAAACACAATCCATTAATATATTTTGTATCAAGCATTATATATTAAAAACAAAATTATTTAATGTCAAAGTTGAAGAATAAAGATTTTAAAAGTCAAAAGTGAAAAATAAATATGGGACGGAAGGAGTATTAAATAAATGAATATAAACGAATTTCCACGTTATAATATTTTGTTCCCTTCGTTTATAAACGGGAAATGACTTAAAATTGTAATATATACTTTTCGATTTGTACATATTTGGTCACTAATTTTTTCGTCCACATTTCCCCCTTCAACTTGTTTAACTATACACATTCAGTCCTTATGACTGACTATTCCAAAAAAAGCCGGAAAAAAAACGACTTAATTGGATAATATATTTCTTACTTTGTACACATTTAGTTTAATATTTTTTGCACATTTAGTCATTAATATTTTTTGTTGAAAATAAAGTCCTTGTTGTTTTTGTACACATGCAGTACTTATGACCGGTTTCTTTAGTTTTTTCTCACAACATCCTATGTCGAACAGCTAATTAATGAGGTGTCCGGGGTTGTTGATGATTATGGCCACCACGAACTCCGCTGCTTGGTTGCTTAGGTCTTGTGTTTCGCTTAGATCTTGTGTTATGAACGACATAACTTCTTCATATGATCTCCGATTTCAACAATTTTTATATCCACACATTCGTATTTGAGTCTACTACAACTTTCGATTAGATTACTCCCGTTAAAAAGTAATATATTTGTATTTACGATCTTTATATACATGCATTCTTTATTAATATATGTATCAATGTTTTTTTTATAAACTCATAAGTAACAATATATTATAACTTTCTAACGGGAGTAGTTTAAGCGAAAATTGTAGTAGACTCAAATACGAACGCATAGATATAAAAATCGTTAAAATTTGAGATCGTATGAAGAAGTTACGATGTTTAGAAGACAATACTTAAACATAAATCAATCAAGGCAGCAGTGGCCATAAGCATGAACAGCCCCGAACACCTCATTAATGATTGTCCTATTTGATTGTCCTATGTAGAATGCTGTGAAAAAAAACCTAAAAAAACCATTCATACATACTCAATGTGTACAAAAACAACAATGACTTTTTTTGAAATAGAAAAATATTAAGGACTAAATGTGTACAAAATGAGAAATATATTACCATATTAAGATGTTTTTTCCGGCTTACTTGGAGTAGCCTGTCATAAAAACTGTGTAACACCCAGTTTTGAAAGTACTTGGTTGTGGTCTCGGAGGCCAAAGGGTAGGGGCGGTTCAGTCTTTTATGGGTCTCGGGTTTATTCGTAAGGTTTTAGGCTTGGGGGCGTGACTAAGAGCGTAGGGTTTCCCGCCACCTTTTCGTGGATATAAAGTTCGTCGGAAACGGACTTAGAACGAAGAAGTTATAGCACTTTGAAGTTATTGGCATAAATGGTTCCTAATGGAAATGTTTGGCAAGCAAGCCCAATGCATGCAAGGGATGCATGCACGTGTCCGGCTGGCTACGCCCAACGTAAGCTGGGTTACACCCGACGTATAAGGCCGTTTGGTCGCGGGTGCGGAGAGGCGTACGCTCAGAGTCACTAAACCCTAATTTTAGGGCTATGCCACTATAAAAGGAATAATGTGCCTCAGTGGTCAGCCTCCATCTCATTCTTAGACAGCCACCACGAAACCCTAATCCATATTTGAGTGTTCTTGGAGCTTAGAAGGCCACTAGAGAGCATTTTGGTGTTGTGGATCCATTTTCCAAGCAAGAAAGGAGCAAAGCAAATTGGTGGTTCAAAGGAGAGGTTGTAGATCTGGGATTGTTGCTTCATTTCTGACCATTTCAAGGTATAAAGATCTGAACTTGGTGATTACTTCCTTAGATCTCTTAGGTTGAGTTTTGGACCATTTTGGTCCATAAGGTTGAAGCTTTGTGGTTCAATCCTATTTCTAGGACTTAGAGTTGCCACTCTCAGTTCTAAATGAGTCCCTAAGACAGAAAGTTGTCATCTTGGTGGTCTTAATGGGCTCATGCATGAGTTAAGACCATTTTCATGGAAGTAGAATACCATTTTTGAAGTTTGGGCTTGTTTGGGACATGCAAAGTCACCAAGTCAGTGACTTTATGGATTCAGACGTTAAGAGGAACTTAGATCTATGATTTGGACCATTGGATATAAGCATTAAGTGTTTAATAGAAGAAATGGCTTAACAGGGGAGTACGTTGGGCGTACAAGCTGGTACGCGCAGCGTACAGGTCACAAGCCCAGTACGCCCTGCGTACAGCTGAGTACGCCCCGCATACTCAGTCAGAGTGGGTTTTGTGTTATTGGGCCTCAGATTGGGCCATGCATTGGATTTTAGTTCTTTGGGCCTTAGTGGGCCATCAGAAGTCAGGTAACTTGGGCCAAAAATATGTTTGGGCTTAGGGTAAGGCCCATTAGAGGGATTGGGCCAATTTGGCAAATTGGGCCATTAGTAGGCCTTTAGTGGGTCATTAGTGGACTTAGAAAGATTAGATGGAATTGGGCCTTGGATATGGTCCAGATTAGAGCAGGGGTAAAATGGTCATTTTACCCTAAGAAGGATTATTGGTTTTGGACTAAGTGTTATTTGGTATTGATAGCTCGGGGAGCCGAAGAATTAGCAGTTCGGGAATTGCCAGTTAGTAGCCAGAGGATTATCTGCAAGTCTTCAGCAGTGCGAGGTGAGTCTCCTCACTGTTTGTATGGGTCTACGGCCACAATGTCGGCCCATTTAGTTTATGTATGGTAGGAAGACACGGGGGTTAGCCCTATGCACTATGTATGAAAGACCAGGGGGGTGGCTCCTGGCACACAGTATGCTATTATGTATGATAGGAAGACCCGAGGGTTAGCCCTAGGCAATATGCATGAAAGACCAGGAGGTGGCTCCTTGCACACTATATGCTATTAGCTAATTAGAGTAATATGTATGCTAGTTGTCTTTGTGATGCTTGCATGGAAGACCAGGAGGCGACTCTTGGCACTTGTCTGTAAGACCTAGGGGGTGGCCCCCGGCTTGGCAAGAAAGACCATGTGGCGGCCCGTGGCATAACAGCAAGACTATGTGTGGCACATAGCACCTTATTTGATATATGATTGATATGTATGGCTCACAGTATGTATGGCATGTATGGCCCAGTTGATATGTATGGTATGTGGTATTTGGGAAACTCACTAAGCTTCGTGTTTACGGTTTACAGTTTTGGTTTCAGGTACCCTCATTTTTCAGAAGATGAGCTCGGGACGATTGCATCGCATTCACCCATATTATTCCGCATTGTGTGATCTTTGGGATTAGACTCTGATATTTGTTTAAATGGAATGTTTTCACTGTTTGGGACAAAGTTATTAAGTGTTTTCTTATATTAAAAATGAAATTTTTGGTCTTGAATTTTGGGATGTTACAAACTGAATGTGTACAATTAAACAAGTTGAAGAGGTAAATGTGGACGAAAAAAAAGCTCAATGACCAAATGTGTAAATTAGAAAATATATATTATATTTTTAAGTCATTATCCCTTTATAAACCTACTACAACTTACAACCGTACCATTTTTGGAGTTTATTTTAAAATATTTTTTTTGACAAAATTTCATAACTGTGGTTTGCAAAATATCACACTTTGATGACTTCTATGGAAAACGTAACGCTAGTCGTCCCTTGTGATTTTCAAAATTTTATGAATGGTCCTTTTGACGTTAAAACTAACTTTTCAGCTGCTAGATTTATGTGAAATGACCATTTTACCATTGTACCAAATCTAATAAACCACAAACCTCCATGAACATTTGTGTAATTTTGGAAACTTGAAATTTTTATATATACATTATAAATAGAAGTGATAGATATAGAGATATATATATAGATATATATATATATAGATTATATATATATATAATTTCAACAATTTCATAACTTTTTTTTTACCTTTTCAACCTTTTATTTTCTATTTTTATTTCATAATTTTAGTTATTTATGATTTTTCTAATGTTTTATTTATTTTGATTCAAGTAAATAAACTTAAATTCGTTAAACAGTGTCGAAACCGCTTTTTCTTTTATTTTTCTTATTTCTGAATTGAACCGTTACTTTATATATATATATATATATATATATATATATATATATATATATATATATATATATATATATATATATATATATATAGGGAGATGATCAAATGAGAACACCTAAAATGTTGAGAACGCGAGAACAGTTCTGGACCAATCATTTTATAAGGGTATATTAGTAACTTTATATAAATATTAATTAATGATTTCCTAAAATCTAGGGATAATGATTTTAATTACCTAACAAAATTAATATTTCCTTTTAGTTAATGAAAAATATATAAATATTTTTTTTATGATTTTTCCCAAAAATTATTTATGACCGTTTCAAAAAAATCACCTAAAAAAATTAATATTTCCTTTTATTTTAAATCTGAAAAGAAAATCTTAAAAGAATATATTATTTCTACTATTTCACGTTTTTGTTTTTCAAAAAAAAAAAAATGAATAGAAATTCAATCCCAAATCAATACACTTCCAATCATAAATGAAAACACATCAAATTACAAATAATTCAATGCATTTTTCATAAATTGAAAATAAAAAAAGTGTAAAAATTATCATTTTTTCATAAAATGAATAACTCTAATCATAAATAAATACACTCATTCACATGAATACACTAATATTCATAAATAAATACAATCATTCACACATGAATACATTGCAATTCACAAATAAATACACTGTTATTTATAAATTAATACACATTCTATCATAAATGAATACACGTGCTATTCATAAATGAATACAACTATTCACACATAACTACAATGTTATTCATAAATGAATACACGTGTTATTCATAAATAAATACAACCATTCACGCACCCCCTTCAAGAAATTATTACCAAAAAATTCGAAAATTAGGATTGTGTTTCTTTCTTTGCCTCTGTTCTTCAGAAATTTTTCCAGTTGGTCCTTCCATTGCAACCATTCTACCTCCTGAACACTCAAGCAAAGATTAACACTCAAACATAATCAACACTCCACGGTAAAACCAATATGTATAATTATAAAATCTTTTTGTGAGATATGGATGATCAAGAAACAAAAACCCACCGATTCACTGTAAAATATCAACACCCAAATATCCATACCTTCATCAGTTTCTATCAAAACAAACAACGAAAAAGGAATTTTCGTTATTCTTCTTTTCATCTCTATCAATTTCTGTCAAACAACCAAACCCAAACACCCATCTAAACCTATTGATTAAACTTCATTGATTTACAGTCAAATAAAAAGAAAAAGAAAGACAAAATAGCAGAAACCTTGTGGTTTTGAGTAGACGTTTTCACGATAAGATCTTGTGGTTTAGCATTGGATACAAAGATCAAAAGAATTTGGACTAAGAAAACTAGTGTAATCTTTAAATAAAAAGTTAAGGCCGGAGAAACTGTCATTTTTTTGGAGAGGGATTCAAGGAGAGTAGATTCACGTATGAATAGAAAGAAAGACGAGTAAAGAAATGGAAATTACCAATAAGGTCACTGGTTAGCAATCCATTGGTACACCTCCCTGTCGCTTTTTGGTTTGCAAAATCTCTCCCATAAGGTGGGAAATTGCCCTTGAAAGGGGTCAGAATGTAGTTGTTGTTTCCAGGATCAGAAGTGGAGTCTCCGAACACCAAAATAGCAGAAACCTTGTGGTTTTGAGTAGACGTTTTCACGATAAGATCTTGTGGTTCATAAAACTTAATTCCATAGCTAGATTCACGTATGAATAGAAAGAAAGACGAGTAAAGAAATGTAGTTGATTAAACTTCATTGATTTACAGTCAAAATAAAAAGAAAAGAGAAGAGAATCATTACCGATCGAAGCAACTGCCCCATCGAGACCCCTTCCATCATTCCAGTCGAAAATGCTCTTTTCACAGACATTTTATCGAGCACCTTATGTGCACAGTTCATCGCCTTTTTTTTTAAAAAAAACACATATGTTAGATCCATCTCTCCTGCGCTCAATCATCCAATTCAGTGAATAGTGAATAGAGAAGAAACATTTTGAGACGGAGAAATGGAATTAAAGAAACAAAGTCGAAATTGAAATTACATGTTTTTAAGTATGTTATTGGACACCTTCTGTGCACAGCCCATCGTACCCCTAGATCTCCTCCGGACCTAACTTTTTCAGTTCCGATATGGTGTATGGTGGTGACGGCTCAATTAGGGTTTAAAGATTTGAAATTTGTATTTAGATAGAGAGAGGAAGAAGGATACGTGAGTGAGAGAGAGAGAGGGGGGGGGATAGAGAGATATTCCAGCAACTTACAAAAATAGGTTAACATATAGGTTAACATGTAATGACCATATTACCCTTTAGACTATTAAAAATTTACAATCTCATACCATGACTTTTAGAAATTTACAATTTCATCTCATGACTTTTATAAATTATTTTAGCCTTAGATCGTAATATTTGAAGAGCTCAGATCTGTTCTCGCGTTCTCAACCTTTTTGGTGTTCTCATTTGATCCTACTCCTATATATATATATATATATATATATATATATATATATATATATATATATATATATATAGTTTATACCTTTACGGTTCATGTTTTTTTAATTAGATAATCCATACTAATTATTGTTTACAATTTCAAGTTTGCATTGATCATTATCATTATTTCACTCTTTGTTTTCTAATTTTTTTTTTATAATTTTAGTAATTTGTTGTTTTTATTTATTTTGAAGTAATGAAAAATAGAAAACCAAAAAAACAAAACTCAAACACCAAAATTGTAATATACTCTAATATATTCATACGTTTACAAATTTTTTTTTTTGTATTTTTTTTAAACTTTTTTGTAATCTTTTTAATTTTTATCTTTTTAATTTTTTCGTTTTATTTTTCATCAATTTGATAACTTCTTTTGATATTTTTCAAAAAGTGTAAAATGTAAGAAAATATTAAAGTATATTATAATTAATGTTTCGATGTGTGGTATTTGCGATTTAAAATTATTAAAAAAAAACTAGTTAAAATTTTAAAATGTAACTTGCAATTCCTATTTCAATATAAGATGCAAATAGTTTAAATTCAAGATAATTTTTTTTTTCAATTTGAAAATCAAAAAAACTCAAAACAACAAAAATATAATTTACTCTTAACATATTCATAAGTTTTACACTTTTTGAAAAACGTCAAATTTTTTTAATCCAATTGATGAAAAATAAAAAGAAAAACAAAAATTATTAAAAATAATATAAAAAAATTTAAAAATACAAAAAAAAATGATCTTGTTTAGACTAAAAAAAAATAAAAAAAAACTCGAAAATTTGTCTATTTTTTAACACAAAAAAAAAAAGGAAAACCTTGTTTAGAAAACCAAAATTTTGACTATTTTTTAACATAAAAAATTACTAGAATTTATAAAACGTAATAAATACAGTAAATTTTGAAAAATAACAAATTTTAAGCCACGATGAGTACACGTTAAAAAAGGAAAACCTTGTTTAGAGTAAAAAACGACGAGTACATAGCGAATTTGCTTTAATAATATGCACATTGTTCATCGATACTTGTACATTGCTTGTGCTGAGAATACTCTCCTAAGTTGCTTTTACCCACCATCATCTTTCTTCTTCCCCATTTCTTTCTTCTAGAAATAAGCTTGCGAGAAATGGAGAGTTGCAGAGAGCCCAAGATGGGTTTTTGTCTTCTCTTCCTGCTTTTACTCCACTTACAACTTGTCCCCGATTCCTCCGCCGTCGGATCGGCTCCGTTGCCGGAATATCGAGCCCTCCTCTCCTTGAAAACTGCCATCACCGACGACCCACAATCCACTCTCTCTTCATGGAAGATCTCTACTAGTCACTGCACTTGGTTCGGTGTTACTTGCGACTCCAATCGTCATGTCATCGCCTTAAACGTTTCTGGACTTAACCTCACCGGAACTCTTTCTTCCGACATCGGAAACCTTCGCAATCTCGTTAACTTCACCGTCGCTTCCAACAACATTGTTGGGCCTATCCCTCCGGAGCTTTCTTTGATTTCTGGGCTTCGTCTTCTAAACCTGTCTAACAACATCTTCAATGAAACCTTTGCCCGAGAACTTGCTAGCCTCAAGTTTCTCCAAGTGCTTGACCTTTACAACAACAACTTGACCGGAGATCTTCCTGTTGTTGTGTCGGAAATGGCAAACCTTCGTCATCTCCACCTTGGCGGAAACTATTTTTCTGGGATTATTCCGGTGGAATACGGCCAATTTCCTACGCTCGAATACCTAGCGGTTTCCGGAAATGAACTCACTGGAGCTATCCCGCCGGAAATCGGAAACCTAACAAACCTCAAACATCTCTACATCGGTTACTTCAATAATTACACCGGCGGTATTCCTCCGGAACTTGGTAACTTATCAAACCTCATTCGCTTCGACGCCGCCAACTGTGGCCTCACCGGAGAAGTTCCATCTGAACTCGGTAAACTTCAAAACCTAGATACACTCTTTTTACAAGTAAATGGACTCTCTGGATCTCTACCGAAAGAGCTCGGAACTTTAAAAAGCTTGAAATCAATGGATCTTTCAAATAATATCTTCACCGGAGAAATACCCGATTCCTTCCTCAACCTCCTCAACCTCACCTTACTAAACCTGTTTCGTAACAAACTCCACGGCTCAATACCAGACTTCATCGGTGAGTTGCCGGAACTAGAAGTCTTGCAGCTGTGGGAAAACAACTTCACCGGAAACATTCCGCAAGGTCTTGGAAAGAACGGGAAGCTGCAAATCCTTGATCTGTCTTCAAATAAATTAACCGGCGAACTTCCGCCTAATCTGTGCACCGGAAACAAGCTTCAAACCCTAATCACATTGGGAAACTTCTTGTTTGGGCCGATACCAGCGTCCCTTGGTGAATGCCAATCGTTAAATCGAATCAGAATGGGGGATAATTTTCTCAACGGTTCGATTCCGAAAGGGATGCTCAGTTTGCCTGAACTCTCGCAGGTTGAGCTTCAAAATAACCTCCTCACCGGTGAATTCCCGGCGACCAATTCTGTTTCAATCAACCTCGGTCAGGTGAGTTTATCCAATAACCATCTCTCCGGTCCGTTACCTCCTACCATTAGTAACTTTTCCGGCGTTCAGAAACTTTTGCTCGATGGTAACCAATTTACAGGTCCTATTCCGTCTGAAATAGGGAAGCTACAACAACTATCAAAGATTGATTTCAGTGGCAACAGCTTCTCCGGCGAAATTGCACCGGAGATCAGCCAGTGTAAGCTGTTAACATACGTGGATCTTAGCCGGAACCAGCTTTCCGGTGAGATTCCTACTGAACTCACAGGAATGCACATTCTCAATTACTTGAATGTATCACGAAATCATTTGGTAGGCAACATTCCGACCTCAATAGCATCAATGCAGAGTCTAACATCTGTTGATTTCTCCTATAACGGTCTTTCCGGCATGGTTCCAGGCACCGGCCAGTTCAGCTACTTCAACTACACTTCATTTTTAGGAAACCCAGATCTCTGTGGACCATTTTTTAGGACCTTGTAAAGATGGGGTCGCCAATGGGACCCATCAACCACATTCAAAAGGAACACTTTCACCTTCAACCAAGCTTTTTCTCGTTATCGGCCTGCTTCTCTGTTCAATAGCATTTGCAGTTGCAGCAATCATTAAAGCTCGATCTCTAAAGCGAGCCAGTGACGCACGATCATGGAAGCTCACAGCTTTCCAGCGACTAGACTTCAACTGCGATGATGTTCTCGATAGTTTAAAGGAAGACAACATCATCGGAAAAGGAGGAGCCGGAATCGTTTACCAAAGGAGTGATGCCAAACAACGAGCTTGTCGCTGTGAAACGATTACCAGTCATGAGCCGTGGTTCAGCCCATGATCATGGTTTCAACGCCGAGATTCAAACCCTAGGGAGGATTAGACACCGATACATCGTAAGATTACTTGGATTCTGTTCAAATCACGAAACGAATCTCCTGGTTTACGAGTATATGCCAAACGGAAGCTTAGGAGAAATGCTTCACGGAAAAAGAGGAGGTCATTTGTATTGGGATACAAGATATAAAATCGCCATCGAATCTGCAAAAGGACTCTGTTATCTCCATCATGATTGTTCACCATTGATCCTCCATCGTGATGTTAAATCCAACAACATCCTTCTAGATTCCAATCTCGAAGCCCATGTTGCCGATTTTGGTCTTGCTAAATTCTTACAAGATTCCGGCACATCTGAATGCATGTCCGCCATTGCCGGTTCTTATGGGTATATTGCACCAGGTACAGAGAGATACCTAATTCTTAACACGTGTCAGTTTTGGATTAGAATTGTGACATGTGTCTGTTTTGGATTAGAATATTGACACGTGTCTATTTTTTTGTTGCAGAATATGCATACACATTAAAGGTTGATGAGAAGAGCGATGTATATAGCTATGGTGTAGTCCTATTGGAACTGGTCACCGGGAGAAAACCGGTTGGGGAATTTGGAGACGGCGTTGACATTGTGCAGTGGGTGAGAAAGATGACCGGAGGTAACAAAGAACGGGTTTCAAAGATTGTGGATCCGAGACTACCCAATGCCCCGACCCATGAAGTGATGCATGTGTTTTATGTGGCGTTGCTTTGTGTTGAAGAACAAGCGGTGGAAAGGCCTACCATGAGAGAAGTTGTTCAGATCTTGACGGAGCTTCCAAAGGGAGGAGATGCGGTGGCAGCCACCACCGGTGGTGGTGGTGGCGACTCCATGGATTCACCTATTTTGGCGGCGGTTACAGTGGAATCACCGGGGAGTGGTGTTGACAACAGGGAAAAAACCAGCTTCGTGATCTTTTAAGCATATGAAATAAGAATGTTGGGTTGGGGTTTACGTGTTATTTGTTTAGTTTTTGAATGTGATTTGTATATGGTAGGATTGAGTTTATGGTAATTAAGTAGTGATTTCATATGGTTTGATGTGTTTAAAGGAAATGGAATATAAGATTCAGGCGAAAACGTTATTTAAATTCAAGATTCAGGCAACAAAATTGATTAATCATAGATGGGTTTAATGTAAATACGATATTTTGTTCAAGTCTGAAAGTATTTTGTTGCATCTTTTACTGTTCACCTAAAAACCAATGTTTTGGAGCTGATGTGATTTCGTTTTAACATCGATTTCATTTGTTTGGATAGTGATATGATTCATTTTGATTTATTATATTTCATGTTTTGGAGTTGTGACTAAGCTTTTGGACATCAGATGACATGATGACTGAGTTGTATGGTGTTGAAGAGCAATGATCCAAGCTTCTTTTTATCCCATAATGCATGTTTCATTAGGTGTTATTGGAGACAAAATATTTTTCCCTTTTTTGTCCGATTGAGCTCCCTGTGTCATGGTTGTGCATAAGTAATCAGATTCTTTGTAGGTTGTTATTCGATATTATCTCTGGAATGTTTTGTTGTATTTGACTCTACTGTTTTTCATAAGTTATTTCGTTATTATACATATATTTTATTTTGTTATTACACATATAAGTTATTTCTTTCTTATTTATTGGCTTATTTAAGGAATTAGTATTAAGATATTTTCTTATTACATATATAAGCGCAATTTATTAAACATAAAAAAAAAAACTTATCGAATTATTATATGTTAGTATCGAATATGTTAATGACATGCTGTAATCTTCAAAACAAGAAATAGATGGGAACAATATATGTATGTAGTCGTGATGTTAGATTTGTGTTACTATAATTGATACCAGATTATGACCTGTGTAAAATTACACGAAGGGAACGTATAAAAAAACAATGTAAATGTATAAACATATAAAAGATATATATATATATATATATATATATATATATATATATAAATGTATAATAATAATAATAATAATAAAGTAACAGAAACAAAAAGATACTTGAAGTTATTGGTAATACTGAAATGTCTAAAAAATACAATGAAATATCTGAATATCTATAATCATTGAAGGACCTCTTTGTAGACAATATTTTTTGTTTTATTAGTTGCATATTCTTCCTTGTCACATATAAGTATATTCACGTCTTTTTTACTTATACATGAGAAACAATAACATATTATTAATTACTGACCATGAATGAAGACGGATCTATGAAGTATGAGTTGTAATTTGTTGCTATTTTTTTTTGTTTATTTGTTGTTATAGTGATTTTTGAAGTTTTAAAAAGAAAAAGTTAGAAAAATGAACAACTCATGCAACTTTTATTGATAATTTAGACTATATTTTATTGTAAAAAGACTTGGAATTGTCTTATTTTAATAAATAAAATAAATACGCTTGTAATAACGTATAAATAGTTACAGTCATGGTCCCTATTTAAAAAAATATGCATAAATGACCCTTGTGAATTTTTTTTTGTGATTGGATGTACAAATAGCCACTGTATAAAAAAAAAGAACATAAATGATCCCTGTCTAAAAATGCACAAATGACTCCTATTTAAAAAAAAAAAAAAAAACTAACAAAATGTTATTGTTTAAAAAAATACACAAGTGGTCGATGTTAAAAATATTAACAAAAATGGATTGTGTTTTAAAAAAAATGCATAAATGGTACTTATACCACACCACTCATAACCTCCTCTCTGTAATTGTGCCAACACCAACATTCGAACTTTTAAACCTTTGGTCAAACATACCACATAACCACTTTCTTATCCTTTGATTATCGAGATGAGCAAGAAAAAAATATGTTAAATTCAACGGCTGATGGTTATCAAAGAGAGGAAGAGTACAAGTCAGATTTGTTCAAGAAAGCATTGAGCCATTTTTTTAACAGCTGAATTATATAACTAAAAGAGAAAACAAGCTCGGAGAGATGGGAAAGTTACAGTACATAAACACTACAATTAAAAATGACAGTGGGAACTAACAAAGGTAGCATAAAGATGTAATATGTAGGGGGCTTAAAGAAGATCCAAAGTAGTAGTGTACTTCTCTAAAACTCAACAACATGGACTTTTTAACAGCTAACTAGGGACTAATTTAGAATTCATCTTTCCGTGTGGACTTAGAGTGTTTAGAGATAGAAGCCAACTTGATTACTTGATTCCAAAAAACATACGATCCATGTTGAGATGTCAAACAGAGGAGGCGATGCAATGCTAGCCAAATATTGTCATACACAATCATACACACAACCACTCTCACACATATCCAAGACACAAAAATATAGCATTATACTTTCCAAGTAAAATGCTTAAATAAGAAAAAAAAAATTAAAAAATTAAAAAAATAAGACAATAAAATGAAAGTGAGATGCTATATTAGACAAACAAACAAATAAGTACATTGGTATTTCTTGCATTTACCCATTGATCGGGCTAAATGCAAGAAATAACAACATACTTTTATTTGTTTGTCTAGTATGGTATCTTATTTACATTTCCATTTCTTACTTTTGTTTTTTATATTACTTGATTTTTTTATTAAACTATTTTACTATAAAAGTACAATGCAATAATTTTATTTTAACTTTTTAAAATTTGTATTTTTAATTTTCATTTTGTTATTAAAACCTATGTGTTGAATGTACAATGCTATAATTACTTCCAAGATATACCCAATTATAGCCTTGTGCTTTAATTATTTTTAGAGATAATTTCAAAAACAGAAAGTACATTGCAAGAAATAGCAATATACTTTCTATTTTAGCAAATAACCATAAAAAATAAAATTAAAATATGTTGTTTTTGTATTTTGTTGAAAGTCTTTGTTGTATAAGCATAGTTTCTCATAACAAAAAAGTCTCATATAAATCGCCTCATGGTAACAATAACGAAATCATCATGACATTTGTAAGTAAAATGGCTTGTTTGGTTGGATGGAATGGAATAAGAACGGTAATGAATTGAGTTATTACATTCCATAATCAAGTTTGGTTGGCTTGTAGGAAGTGAATGAAATTTCATATGCAATAAGCACATACCACACAAAAACTTTGCTTTAGCAGAACTGCAGAAGCAACCACATCTCCATTTACATCAGTTGCCTTAAAGAGCTCATATTTCTAGTAAAAAAAGTGTTAACTGTTTACTAAAAAGTGAATTTACAAAACCAATTATTAACATATATTTAGTAAAATCAATTGCAAATTCATTACTATAAAAAAAGTAAAAACATATTACTAAAAGAGAACACCGTTTCCATCATATCTACATATTTTCCTGGTATTTAGTAAAATTATAGGTAATAAATAATTAAACATAATGTCATCTCAAAAATTCCAAGAGATATCATCTACAATGAGCAATGACATCGGTTAATATTCAAAAAGTCATAAGAATAAATTTTTTTAAGAGAATAATGAATTAGCAAGAAGATGCTTATAAAGTTCACAAAAATAAAGTGAATCTATTCACTTGAAAACCAAAAAAGCTCTTCACATGTATAACTGTAGTTATGTCTTTTAATTTCTTTGCAATTGTCTTCCTTGAAGGACAAAACAAAAGGCTAAGCAGTTATCACCGGTTGTTCCATCTTCCTTCCCTTTCCCTTGAGTCATTGAGTGAGAGTGAGAAAATTAGAGATGCAGATGGTGGATGGAACAACCAGTGATAACCGCTTAGCCTTTTATTTTGTCCTTCAAGGAAACATAAGTAGGTAAAGATTAAAGATTAATTATTTTGAAAATCCATAGATAAAATAACCAAAAAGAGTAGATATAAGTAGGTAAAGTTTTATAAAAAATTAACAAAAATTATGCAGCATTTGCAGCCTCTAAAGTATAGTCCAACTCCCCCACCAACCCTTTTCGTACCTCATAAGCATAAAGACATAAATCACGTTTCCTTTTAGTCAGTTGTTGCAAAATATCTGGCTATATTAGTGCATAAAATAAGTTATCTGCACTTGAACTTAAATAAATAGACCTTGCTTCCTTAGAGATGTAACTGAAGAAGGCCTCCACAGGGGAACCAAGATCTTCCTCTAAGATTTGTGTTGCTAAAGTTTGGTTGAATGGATGGATTTGATCATGGATATCACTTAAAGCCTGCAATAATAGAAAATCAAAGTAAAATTTGAGCTTATTTAATCAATGAAAACCTTAAAACACAAAAACCTAACCTTACATATTAGAAAAGCAATAATATCTGGACTTGTTGAAAGGGACTGACCAACTACACCAGCAACCAAAAGCATGTCACAATGAATATTGATGACCTAAAAAGACCAGGAAACCAACACAACATTAAGAAAAATTAGAAAAAAATTATTAATTTTGTCACTAAATTCATCTGCAGCTATACCTTTGATAAAAGTAGGTTCCAAGTAAGTAACATTATTTCTTATAACACCATTCCAAATTTGTATTGTGAATTGTATTCATTGATGTAACATCCGGATTTTCAAGGATAGTATTGTGTATGTTAATCTTGAGATTGAAGGAGAGACTCGACGAGTTGAGGGTCCAACTCGCCGAGTCGAGTCGAGTTGCTCGCGTGGATTTAATGAATGGACTCGACGAGTCAAAAGAGGGACTCGCCGAGTAGGTGCTGGGCAGAGAAACCCTAATTTCCCGGGTTTGGGACCTATTTAAAGGCACTTATGGCCTCCTATTGCGGCCACACCTTCCAGCGAGCAACCCTAAAAATCCTTGAGCGTGTAAAGTGAGAGAGAAAGCTATCTTGAGCAAGTTGGTGTGATTTTGCAAGAAAGAAGAAGGTTCAAGCTAAAAGGGAGGGCCAGATAAAATTATGGATATGAGTTATTCAAGCAAGGAGCTTCAGTTGGAGGTATCAATTCGAAACCTTTCTTCCGTATTGTGTAGATCTCATCTCTTGAGGATTAGGGCTTAAATTACCTTCTTGATGGGGTTTTGAGTGCATCAAACCCCTTTCTGTGGGCTTGTATGATAGATCTGGACCTTGTTAGGTCCAGAGAGTCTGAAAGTGCGAAGCCATAGTTGTGCAACCATAGAGCTTTGAAGCTAGGAAGCATTAATGGAGTTTTAATAGTATATAAAGCAATATACACCATGCATGGACACCAAGATCGAAGCTTTACGTGTCTATTGAGCCTTGAGAG